ACGGTCGAAGCGCTCCGACGGCACCGCGAGTACCGCGTCCGCGTGTCCGGCGATATCGAGAAAACGTACGCGGCAGAGCGCAACGAACGATCCAACGGCAAACGGACGGAGAGAGTAGTCGCCCGTCGTCGCCGTCCTTCGCCACGATTTTCCACCAAAGATCCGTTCGTTCGATCTTCGTCCGCCGGAGATGCAACGCGCGCGAAACGCGTCGAGAGTCGAGCGCTCGCGGAGAATCTCGAAACGTTCTACGCCGTTGCTGCTGCCGCTTCGCGCGATCCGACGGATTCCCGGAGAAACGAGAGAAACTCGACGCGACGGAAAAGTGCCGATCGAATTGAAAGACGCGACCACCGACCACGTACGGACGGTAGAAATTTCATCGAGGACGACGAGTGGAAATCCCTTCTCGTCGAAGATCGGCGAGAAGGGCAGGAGAAATCGCGAGAAACGCTTGCCGATGCGAAACGACGAGTCGACGAAGTGGCAGAGGCTCTTCCGAGTAACGACGCGACGTTACTCGACCGATCGAGAACGAACGAGAACGAACCCGAGGTTGGGACCGTCTCCGTGGTTCTTCCATCGGTTGTCGGGCGACCGCGATCTTCCGGCAAATGTACGGGCAGCAACGACGTTCGCGAACGCTGCGAGTACGAGTCCAACGAGGAGGAGGAGGAGGAGGAGGAGGAAGATGCCGCGGGTAACGATAACTTCACCTTACCGCCCATCTCGAGCGACGGCTCAAAGTCGACGACGAGAGCCAGCAATTTCATCGAGTTACCGTCTTTGTCCAACGACGTGGACGCGGCTCGCCACCCCGACCAACGCCAACGGGGGATGCACCGACGTCACCGTTCCGAACGTTCAACGACGAGTTCGACGAGTCGAACTCGCGAGCGAACGCGGTCCGCGAAAGCCTCGTTCCGACTGGAACGAACGACCGTCCAACTCGCGAATTCCGATTACGATCGGCTGAGAGCAACCGCTGAAAACGAATCCGACGGCCAACGAGATTCGCGAGACGACGTGAACGCGCGCGATATCGTTTCGCCGGAGACCGCGTGTCCTCGTCCCTGTAAATCCGTGGACGGACGACGTGTCGACGAAACGCAAATTCCGCGACAACCGGGAATCGTTCGACGACCGCGTTCCGGGTCTTCTTCGCCGGCGGAAGAAGCTGCGGAAATCCCACTTCGAGACGAAACTTGGAAAGATAGTTCGAGCGTGACGCCCGATTCGATCCGTCTCGAGAGCGAGAAGAGGAACGAAACGCGAGAACGACGTCGACCCAACGAACTCGAAAGAAAATTGATCGAGATAGAAACGATGGAGAGGAGCGTCGAGAACGCTTTGCTATCCTCTCGAACCGTCGCTGATGATTTCGACGGCCGACCGGAAGAAAATTCCACGGAGCGTTCCACGGTCGAATTTCCCGCGAGAATCGTCGAACCGGACCGTGCGCCCAACGAGCGCGACGTGTCGCGACGCGTCCGAGACGAGCGGACGAAGAAAAATTCGGACAAAAGTCGGAGCGCCACGAGCGACGAAAATAACGCGGACGCCAACGACGATCGTGTCGACGAGATTGACTCGGCCGAAGGTGAAACGTCGAAAATTCGAAAACGTTCCAACTTCCACGACTCGGACGACTCGAAAACTTCTTTCGTCGACGAAGACGATGACGGCGACGACGGTCGTGGTCGTGCGAGATACGTTGCAGAGATCGTAGGTCGCAGCCAGCCTGCCGGAGGCATCGACGTCTCTTGTTACGTACTCGCCGAAGGCTCTCCTTGCGAAATACCGGAAACTGTAATCACCGTCGTTATACCGGATAAACTTGTCGACAGAAGCGACGACAACGTTGTTCGCCAGGACCGAAATTCTCCGTTCGGAGAATATATAGCTCCGGAGACTGGAATCGCTGCTCCCTGTTCGAGCACCGTTGACGCTCGTTTTCTACGCGACGTGGTGAAAGACGCTGCCGATCGAGCGTCCGCTCGTCGGCGAGATCTTGCAAACATCCGAGAGGAAGAGGAGAACCAAGGCCGTCCGTTTTCCAAGATTCTGCGGCGTGGTACCGCCGTCGACTGCGAAGCAAACTCGACGAGTTTCGATCGTCGAGACGACCGGCGACGAGCCAACGCCGTGTCGTCTCCCGTTCTCTCCGACGTTGTCTCCGGACATCCGTCGCGCGTTGCGAAAAACGGGAACTCGACCAGCGACCCAGTTTCTCCGTCGTTCGAACGAGTTGGACCGACGACGAACGTACCCGAGTTGAACCTGGATTCTTTGCGAGACGCAACGATATCCTCGACGATCGGCGAGACCGAGTCGAAGAATCTTCTCTCCGACGACGTTGTTGTTTCCTCCGAGGATGAAAATATCTCTTTGTCCTCTTTCGCTTCCTCCGACAACGAGAGGAAACTCAACGACCCCTCGAACGATCCAACTTTCGAATCTTTCGAAAACCATCGAGCGAGACTGCTCGGCGAACCGGTAACTGAAACGACCGAGACTGGAAACCGGACGAACGACGATGAAAAAGAATCCCGTCGCGTGGAAGAGGAAGAAATTGCACGAGAACTGATACGAAACTTTACGATCGACCACGACGAAACGGTCGAATCGAACGATTCGACGACCTCCTCCTCGTCGCCTGAACCTCGAGCGAACGGCCTCGATACCGAGTCGAGTCGAGCCGAGAACTTTGTCGTCCAATTTCATCCGTCCGTGCGACCCTCGGCGTCCAAAGTACCGATCGGCGAAGAGTCTTCTCGTCGAGAAAAGCTCGACGACGACGACGACGACGACGACGACGATACTCGAGCGGAGAGAAAGGAAGATGAAAGGACGAGCGAGGAACAAGGACGACGAGAAAGCGGACAACCGGAAAGAGAAACGACAGAAAACGAAGCAAGTATTTTTCCTCTTCTTCTTCGCGCGCCAACCGACGATCGATCGAAAGATGTTGAATCCTCGTTGACGAACTTTAGATTTTATCGATTCGGATTCGCGGTTCTAGGTACCGCGTGCGTGTGTGAGCGAGTATTCGTCTAAATGCATAGTTGTCGCGCGCGT